CCTGCAATGGAAAGGCAGTTCCAAACGTGAACCTGCTCAAGAACTGGACAGCACTGGGGCGGGAGAATGAGGCGCTGAAGGTGAGGACTCATTTTGAACCAGTTTACGTTTGCCCTAAATGTTCACTTCACACCGTTTTTTCACTGACACTGAAATCATCCTCATCCTCATCCTCACTTTGATCACCACTTTGCAGGCAGAGCAAAGTCGCCTGAGGGAAGAACTGGAGCAGCTCCGAAAGAATGCGCGGAGCCGTCGCTTCTACTGGTGTACGGACTCAAAGCTAAAGGACGCCTTGGAGGAGGTTTGTTTTGTAGCAGCACCTTTTTAAGCCTTTTGATTTCTAAAACTAGTAGTAGTAACTAACAACACACACACACATATTGTTTAAAACTACCACTTCACTCTACAGCTAAGCAAGAAGGCGGCGTATGAGAAGGCGGTGCTCGAGAGGAGGCTAGATTCGAAAACATACCAATACCGTAAATACGAGGACTACATAAGAAGTCTGGAGCGGGATTTACATTGGCTCGAGAGAAAGGAGCGCCAAATGGAGGAGATGGAGGAGGAGAAGGCGAGAAAGGAGGAGAAGGCGAGGTCTACTAGAGAAAACTAATCTCGGACTTGATCGATTTCGCCATCGTTTATTTACAAAAATAAAACTGTTTGATTGTACAATAATTAAGACCAAGACCTAGTAAATCAAAACCCTTCTCCTCTTTTCCTCAGTGACCAAGCGTCGGCTCCCACAGCTTGAAGGTCCGATCAAAGGAGCAGCTGGCGATGTAGCCGCCACCGCCGGAGCTCATATCCACGCCCATCACTTTCCCGTCATGTCCCGCCAGCGTCTTGATCGGCGTCCAAGCCGGCGACGCCCACAGCTTTACGGTGGCGTCGTAGGAGGCGGAGGCGATGTAGGCGCCGCCGGCGGTGTTGCGGTCGAAGCGCACCCGACTGACCACGTTGGTATGCGCGGCGATGGTGTACTCCAGCTTACGTTGGCGAATGTTCCAAATCTTGACGGTGTTGTCCTCGCTTCCCGTCACCAGCTGGTAGCCATTCGGGCTGAAGTCTACTGAGATGATGCCCTGGGAAAACCAAGTCAAAGATTAGAAAAACCAAAACAAAACACCGAGACCTAGGTGGAAATAGAAATCGAACTCTGTAAACCGCCTACCTTGAGATGCCCCTCCATGAACATGATACACCGCCCGGTCCTCAGGTCCCAGACCCGGCCANCGCACCCGACTGACCACGTTGGTATGCGCGGCGATGGTGTACTCCAGCTTGCGCTGGCGAATGTTCCAAATCTTGACGGTGTTGTCCTCGCTTCCCGTCACCAGTTGGTAGCCATTTGGGCTGAAGTCCACAGAGATGATGCCCTGAGAAAGACAAAGATTAGAAAAACCAAAACAAAACACCGAGACCTAGGTGGAAATAGAAATCGAACTCTGTAAGCCGCCTACCTTGAGATGTCCCTCCATGAACATGATACACCGCCCGGTCCTCAGGTCCCAGACCCGGCCGAAGGAGTCCCGACCCGCAGAGGCTGCCAGCGACCCGTCCCCCTGGAAGGCGACATCGTGGACGCCCTTGGAGTGGCCCTCCTGGTGGAGGAGCTCCTCGGGGCCGCCGCCGGCGCCCAGGTCCCACAGGCGCCAGCTGTGGTCGTAGCAGGCGGTGGCGAGGAGGGTGCCCGCCGGGTGGAAGGCCACCGAGGCGACTCGGTGCGGGGCGTGACCGGTTAGGGAGTGCAGCGGCTCTTCAGTCTCTCCCTCCAGGGCCCATAGAAAGACGGAGCCGTCGACGCCGCAGCTGGCGAGGTTCACCGCCTGTGGATCCTGGGAAAGGGTGGCCTGCGGATGCCAGGTGACCTTGTCGGCGTTGACGTTGTGCGCTCGGAGCGTCCGCCGGTGCTCCAGCGAGGGCACCGCCCAGAGCTTGCAGAGGCCAGACCAGGAACTGGTGGCGATGAGCTGCCCGTCCGGTGAGAAGCAGACCGAACTGACCGGCCGCTGGTCGCCCACCTGCGAGCAGCCAATCTCCATAGTTCGCAGGCGCTTGTAAAGCTCCTGCGTCGTCCCCTCCCTTACCTCCAGCGGAAGGTCGCGGTAGCTCCTGGCCTCGGCCAGCCGCTGAG